CTTTAAGCAGGTGAGTTGGCTCTGACTTTTTACTGATAACCACTGAAATGAGTCACCAGCTGCTTTCTTCTCCAACAAACAACAAAATGCCCCTGAGGTTGCTATGCAATCCATTTCACACAGAGCCTGCACATTACTCCTTAGGTGCCAACATTATGCTCCTTGCAGTGTGAGCCAAGAAAAATGAATCCCTTCCTCATGAAGAAGTTTACCATGGAGAGCAGAAACTTAATCTTTATTGTTTTAAATTGAAGGTGGCAAGAGTGACAGTGTTGAGGTGTAAGAAGATGTTTACAGAGTTTTGGAAGAAGTTAATTTGAAAGAAAGGTCAAGTCTTTGGAAAATATTATAAAAGCTGAGGAAGAGTCCTGGAATGAGGACAGAAATTGGTAACCACAGAAACAAATGAAATAATAACCTTAAAAAGATAAATTAAAGGGGGTAATTATAGTGAGTTGTGAGCAAAACTCTGTGGAACAAAGAGCAAAACAGACCAGGACAATGACAAGATTAAACCCAGGGATAATCTCAGAAGGAGACCCCAAAAGAGTATAAGGCAAGGGTCTTCATACTTGACAAAAAGAGACACAAGAGTCATGGGAGTATGTCGCGAGATGCACAAAACACTACCAGATGCTCTTTGAACCAGAAGGCATCAGAGAAGGAAAAACCCAAATAAAGTTTTGAATAGTCAAACACGTTTTAAGCCCCCCAACCAGAGCTAACGTGATACAATGACAAAGTAATCCCTGTCCACCTTCTGCCCCACAACACCACACATTCCCTCCTGCTGCTGGGCAGCAGCCCCTGATCTCTTACCAAGGTCAGGTAACTCTGAAAGTGTGTTGGGATTTTTAATTTATTCTTTCCTGAACTTCTGCTTAGCATTATCTCCATTATCATTACTAAACAAAAGACACGGTCCAAAGAGATTTGTTGCTTTACCACTGAAATTCCATCTCTGTCACAGAGGTACAGGAAAACCTATTACCTTCTACCATACCCCTGATCAACAAGGAAAAGAAAATAGAACTAAACAATCATACACGGTTTTTAACAGTGTATTCAACTGGCAAGTTTGCTTAAGAAATGCTCCTTGTTTTTCACTACCTCTTCAAGATATTTCCTGATCAATTTTGTCTCTCATTACAGCCAGGTCTGTATTCTCAACAAGTAACAAGCCCTCCAACTCAATATTCAAACAACACCACCTTCTAAATATCACACTGGGGTGACTGTGCACACAAGTGCCTGAACTAAAACGCGCCCACTGGCATTAAATACCAACATCACACCACTTGACTCCCAAGTTCAAAAAGCAGTATGAAACTCACCAGCTACAAGCAGCACCAAAATCACAGAAGCCTATAAAGTTTGTAGAGGACCACACCCCAGAAAATGATTTTTGTTAGTCATGAGATCAACACTGTCATGTATCATCATCTTATTTTTATATCATAAAGCTATTATCTCAAAAATACTTGCATACAATTTGCAAGGATTTTGTTATGATCCAAATGAAACATGAGGTCTGAAGGCAGGCAAAGGTCTGTCAGCACAAATACACCAAAAAATCACAGTTCAGACAGATGCCAATCTGAAACAAATATGCTTAAATGCACGTTTTCTCTTCCTAAGTACACCGTGGCTTTTGGGATCTCCTACCAAAAGGTCTTCAAAAGTTCTTCAGTAAATGCTGGAAAATGCCTTTAAGAAACTATGTATACAGCAGTGACATTTTCCTCTTCCCAAAATGTCCTTCACTCTCACCAGATCGATCTTCCTCCCTACCCTCCCCTCCTTGGCCAGCTCCCTCAGTAGCTCATCCTCTCCCTCTCTGAGCAAGCTTTATTATTTCAGTTTTCACAGGCAGGCTCCCACAG